ACGTCTGGCGAGATCGCCAAGAAACCTGTCCCCCGTCTTCAACGTCGGATTACCGACATGTATGGGCATAAAATGTATCACGGGATCAACGTGAATTTATACCGGACGATAATATATCTCCCGGCAAAATAAAGTTCTCAGTTTCTCCCTTCTCGAATAATTCGTCGAGACGTCGTAATCGTTATCGCGATCGAACGACATGAGTACCGATATAAATTTATTATTTTCTTGCGTCGTTTTTTTTATTTATTTATTTCATATTAATATTATTTCAGTAAATATTTTATTAACTTCCTTCTCCGAGAAGTGAACTCTCTTGCTCTCAGTCGCTTTTATTTATCTATTATATCTAATATTATCTTAGTAAATATTTATTTAACTTTTTATATAAACTTTTTTTCTTCCGCTGTATAATTAGCGTTCAGTAATCGAACGATCAGTTAGGTATCGCTGTACCGTTTAATAACCGAATAAATTGTATCGGCTGCTGTCAGCTAGAGACATAGAGAAGTGAAATAGTGGAGCAAGATACAATCTAGATAAATCTAGATAAAGATACAATCTAGATAAAATTAAAATGTTTATAAAATTAACGTCCGAAAGCTGTTACTCCGACCTGACATTTATCCCAATATCGGATTTCATCCGGATGAAATTATCCGATATGACATGTAACTACTGTCGAGAATATCCACACTCGGAACGACCTAACACACTCCAAGGCCCGATTAAGCGATTGAACTCGATAACATGTAAATACGTTTGCCCAAATTACACGGTAATCCGTCCATCACGAATCCAGGTCAAACCTGGGCAACCATGCGCGAGCCGAATTGAAACTCAAGCGATTTACAACGGTTTAAAAGATATATCGTCGGCAAGTGTGTCTTTTATAAACACGCGCGTTACGCCATAAAATTACAAACAATAATCGAAATGATCGAAAAATTGTTACAAAATCATACCGCGAGAATTTTTTTTTTTTTAAAGCATATACGGCTTTTTTTAAAAATATTTTTTTTAATCCTTTTCATCTTTTAAAATTTAAAGAATATTACGCGAAATAAATGAAAAAAAATATATATATTTTTAAAAATTCTTTCAATTTTAAAAGAAGATAGAAGTGTGCAGGTATCAAGGATTCTTGCGGATTAAGCGTTTCCGAGGAAACGAGTCCAGAATTGTCGTATATTCGATCGTCCCGAAATCGGGTCCTCAAATGTTGTATCGCAAAACGCGTGGGTGTGAGAAAGAGGGGACACAACGACGAACGATGACAAGAAACTAATTCTGTTTGAACGGATACCGGCAGAGAGGGGAAGGCAGGAATGCGAAACGACAATGTCGTCGTCTTCGCCCAATTATGGAAGCGCTCGAGCGAGATTGTAAGAAGGATCTCGGGCGTTACCATGAATAAAGGACGTTTCTTTGCGAGGATTTGGTCCGTGCGAACGGACCTACATAAGGGCATTCACTCGCGTTTCATCATTCTAGGTAACCAGAGAATTTTGAAAGTACGCCTCTTCACGCAGCAATTTACCGAAACGACGCGAGACTTGAAGAATAATTTACATGAATTTTAATAAGTCACTTAACGAAGGATCTTCCCTCCCTATTTTTCAAAGAACGTTTCTGCAGCGCGAGTGAGAGATCATACAAATTTATGAGATTCCACTAGTAAAGTTGTAATATTACAAATTTATAGCATAATCGATCACGTACTGCTATTATTTTAATCTCAATGACTGAAATGAGAATTTCTCCGGGCAAAAGTCTACGAAAGGATACGTGTTGAAAACCGATTTTAGACTAAAGCCGTCCCTAAAATAAATGGCTCTAAGTAAGACATTTAAGACCTAAATTTTTAATCGAGGATGAATTAATTATTCTATTCATGATGGACGAAGAATTTAATTGATTGCAATTTTATTTCATCTCATTATTTAAGAAATGATCTTAATATTAAGAGAAATCTCGATATTTAAAGATCGAAAGATTCAAAATTTTGAACCCTCAAATAAATTTCCGTTTGAAAGTCTATTTTTATCCGGTCTAATTTGCAAAGGCAACAGCAACGGGAGATGTCTTGTGGATTTGTCGAAAAGATTACGACGTGCCCTCTAGATTTTTCACTAATCCCTCTTTGGCTCTTCTCTCCTTGGCCTTAGAATTCCCGTGCTAATCCGGGGCGGTATAACGTGACTTTCGTCGAACTTCTCTCTCGATAGAGAGGAACCAGAAGAAAGAGAGATCGAGACAGAGGAAGAGGAGAGAGAGAGAGAGAGAGAGAGAGAGAGAGAGAGAGAGAGAGAGAAG